CATGTCTCGTGTGAATGGCACGATAAATGGCTTAGCTAAGACGTACCTTATAATATGCCTGTATGTGGTGTCTTATTTTATACGCGCTCTTCAGTGTAAGACGCGTCTCACTCTTATTTTCTCCGTGTAAATGGCTCTATTGTATCATAACTGACGTGTCTCCAAACTTTTAATTATGATATAAATAGGCCAATTTCTTTTTTTAAAAATTCATGGTTCAGAGGCTCAGGGGAATAAAACAAAGAAATCACTTGAGGCTCAGTAATGAATAATACATTTCTATTGTTTGGCCTAAGCCTCGTAGCCACGCATTTTAATATATCGAAATTGGCTTGACAACTGATATTTGAACGCTAATAGATCGTCTAATTAGCCTTTTCAAATCCATTTGAAATTAATCATTGTTTATGTATTTTCCCTCGCCAAATAAACAACCCTGGGCACCGGGACTTCCTGAGGCCAAAAGGAGTTCAACATCTTTTTTATTAAACCGTAACGTATCTCTCATATCTTATGGAAGCCACGTAGTAAACAGCTAGGTCGCCGCCCTGGAAACGAAGTTGATCGATGGTCTATGCAGCGTCCCATGCAGCATCTGCCGGGGGGATTGGAGCCGATCAGAAACGACGAGATATTTTGAATTAGTAATAATCATTCTTTATTTAACTGTAACGTGATCGCAACTGACCTCATGGTAAACCATGGTAGCCACGTCGTGAGTTTTAAATGAATTCTTAGTATTGTAGGAACTAATCCAACAAGTACAGTCCGACCGATATAAATACGATAAATAATAAATAAATAAATAAATATAAACACACAAAGGGATATGGTCGTGCAAGTAGGGTGCGTTTTTGAAAGAGTTTAAGCTCGACAGGGTAACGGTATCTTAGGGTGGTTTCGTTTTATTGTTCGTGGGGAAAAACGAGCACTTACGCCGTTTTGAGTATTTCTTGAATATTATCTGTCAGTCATTAAGCCGGGATGTGATTGGCTATGAAGTCTTAATGTCATTGGAGAGTTCCGATCCGTCTTTTTTCATAGACAACGAAAATGTTAGGTTATTGAACAACCGGGGCCAGATACTTAGAAGGATAAGATGTATTAAGTTGTATTACCTTATTATAGGAAATTAACGCTCCATGAAATTAACGCGAATCGTTAAAATTCGCGTTAATTTAAGTCGTGTTCATTTTGTTGAGCGTTAATTTCCGCGACGTTAATTAAGTGCAGCGTTCATTTCCGCGCTCTTAATTTCCAGTATTTTAACCCCAATTTTGGAACCTGTCCAGACATTCTTGACACCTGAAAAACATTAACTAAAGGCTTTCTTTCTTTCCATTTACCCTTTATTTTTCATCTTTCACAAAAGTTAAAGCGAAGATTTACAATATTTCGAGTTCATCTTCATCGTTGTCGCTGTCAGAAGTGATGTCAGCTCAGTTTTGTTCAGTTTTGAATGTTTTTGCATCCAGTGTTGACATAAATTTGTTCCAGTTGTCACCACCAACTGTGTCGTAATCGCGTTAATTTCCTTTATTATGAAATTCTACCTCCTCTTTCGCGTTAATTTTCTTTATTAGAAAGTCGTTTTCCATTAAATGCGCGTTAATTTAAGTCGCGTTAATTTCCAATACCTTAATTTCATGGAGCGTTAATTTCCTATAATAAGGTAGATGCATTGTGAATAACATGTATTGTGTTGTTATTTGTTGTACTTAATAGCTTCGATTCCTTTGAGACATCTGTCTATCTGTCTATTTGTCGGTTTGTTTTTCGGTCTTTTTTTTTTAAACCAGATGCATTTAAACTAATTATCTATCCTATAAGCTCGGATGTAGTGTGGACTATTCGCGTATCATCTTTTAGTTATCATTCGAAGTATCTGCTCAATTACCTACATTTTTAGCTGCCTTTCTATCCTAAATGCCTAAGTATCCTCTTTTTCTGGTCGCTGTATTCAGTCGACCAGGCGATAACTTTAATGTTGGTGCAATGGTACTCGACACGTTAGTCTTCTTTCCACGCTGCAGTGCCGTATTCTCTTTACCTTGCCTCGATAATGCATTCTATTAATTCTCCGTTAAAGTCAAACGGAATCTTATGAACAAAACGTTTCTCCTTGTTGTTGTCTCCCACACCCCAGCGTAAATCTTCTAGCGAAATCCAACATTTATTCCGCTCCCATATATTCCAGGGCAACCCTGGCGCATTCTTGTGAAATTCATGGCCCACTGTATCCACTTGGCTTGTTTTCCTTTGATTCCGCCAGGAGCTCCTGGAAGGTGTTGTAGAGAAGCGTATATCGTTTCACCCGGGATTTGAGTTTCCTTTAAGAATTCATCGAAGTCTTTCGCTATTTGGCTGTGAAGGGCAAAGTCGTCAAATTCTCTTAAAGCAATAATATGAGTTGATCCCTTATAAATTGAAATATTGTGCGGTGGCGGCGCTTTCCGTTTTGTTGTCTTACGATTGAAGTGGATTCTTAATACGTAAACAAACTCCGTTCGATATGATCAGAATAACGTTTAGGCATCGAATGGGCTATGTTGTTGGTATTGTTGTGACCTTGTAACGCTCGTACAAACTGCTTGTTACAAGAAAGCGGAAAATCCGGTCCCACTAAACTAATGTAATATTTCCATTTAACTGGGATTTCAGCAAAGCTTCAACTACAGTAATATGACCCCGTGAGACGTCAACACTGTTTCCAGCGATAAAAACGTTTGGAAGGCAGCGTATAATGGCCTGCCGTATTGCTTTAAGGAAGACCGCCGAAGTCTTTTTTTCAATGTGAAAAAATTTTAGGTACAGGATAACTCCCTTTTGGGGGTTATTTTAACTCCTCGATATCTGGGGTGATTTATACTCCTGAAAAAGAGTTCTTTTTAATAAACTCCTTTTTGGAGTCAAAATAACTCCCCCTCAAAATAACTCCACTGTACTGAAGAGTTAAATTAACCCCACTAGAGGGGTTTTTATAACTCCTTGAAAATTACTGTGTGATTTTTCCAACTGGTTACAGGCCCATCTACTCAGAAACAAAAATATTATAAGCTGTTATAAGCTCCCCCCAGGGGGTATTAGCTTCCCTCTAGTTTTCCTTGTTTTTTTTTATTTTATTTTAAGTACTCTCACAGAAGCCAGTACTACTTCAAACACAAAATTAGATCACTCAGTAAACTAAGACGACGTCAAATTAACTGAGAGAATTGAATGCAAGAAGCCTCAAAGCCGTGAACTGAATTTGCGTTTCTTCAAACTTTGTCGCGTTTATTCCAGTTCGCTGAAAATGTCAAATGTAGGCGAATTTTTCAGGAGTTTATTTCTTAGGGACCGCACTCAAGTTTAGAAAGACAAAGAAAAATTCGTCGTCGCTTGTTTACGTCCTCTATAAAACGTGCAATGAGGCATTTTCTCCTCGTAGTCGTGCAGTGACGGCAAAGAAATGTACAAAAAAGCGTGATGCACGTGCAAAGTTGTTGTTTTCTAAATAAGCCTATTGCCTTTTTGATGTTCTCGTTGGCATCGCCGTCGTCGTTGCTAAAGCTCCCTATTAACATTTTTAACAATGACAGCGAAGATGAACTCTGTGCCTCCTGTTTGTTGCGTTCCGGTTACTTTCACGATGTTAACTTCTGATTTTTTCCTACGGAAAGGCATTCGATTTATACAAGAGCCATAATGGCTCTTGATTTATAATGAGGCTTGAAAGTTTAATTAAAAATTAGTAAGTGAAAAACGTATTTTCATCAACACTGCTGTGGTTCAATTCGAAAAGTTTTTTTTTCATTCCGCTTATAAGTCCCCCCCCCCCCCACCCCCCCCATTAAGCCCCCCCCTTTTGGGTTTTAAGCCCCCAGGCCGATCCAGGGGAAACCCCCCCCTTTTAAACCAAACAAACCCTTTGGGGAGACAAAAGTTACGCCAAAAAAAAAAAAAATGTAAAAAAAGTAAATTTCAGGGGGGGGATCATAGGGAATTTAACTTGGGAGAAGGGAAAAAACAGCCAAAAANCCAGATTTAAGCCCCTCCGTTTTGGTTTATAAGCCCAGTGGCAGATCTAGGGAAGCCCCCCTCATTTTAGACCAAACAAACCTTTTGGGAAGACCAAGGTTCCGCTAAAAATAAATAACTGTTAGTAAAGGTAATTTTCGGGTGCGTGATATTAGGAAGTTTCACGTCGCAGTAGTGCAACGACGGCTAAGACACGTACAAAAAAGCGTGATGCACCTGCCCAGTCGTTGTTTTGCTGATAAAAACAAACACACATACCTACATAGTGTTTATATCAGGCTGTGCAAACTCAGGAAAAAAGTTTTCTATTGCTTTTATAAAATAACGTTCACGAGAAAAACGCAAAACTCTTTGTTATGGCACTGATTAAAAGAGAAATTCTTACCAGTCACAAAGTGCAGACGAAGGGTTGCACGCGTAATCAGTTCTTGTTTTGCAAAAAGATGCTTTCCAAAATACGGATTTTCTCGCTTAAAATGTGAGCTTAAGCGAAAACAAAATTGACACAGCTTGTTTGTAAAGATGTTCAAAGTTTCAGCCGACGAAGGAATGGGTAAATAAAGTAAACTGGTTGAGTTTTGAAGTCAAAAACCTATCGCTTTTTTCAAGTTCTCTCCTCCGTCGCCGGCATCTTTGCTTAAGCGTCCTATTGTTGTGATCCAGAAATTTTGTTACCATGGTAACGTGTCGTCACACTTTTTCTCTCTACAGGATGAGCAGCGTCACCTACTTGCTTACTTAGTTACTTTCTTAGCTAATTACTCACTTTCTTTAACCCAACTACTGGCAGAGAGAGAGAGAGGAGAAACAAAACAAACAAACAAACAACGACAACAACAACGAGAAACATTGTTTATGCTTTAATGAGGATTTTTTAACCGTCTAAATTTATTTGAGCTTTAATCCCCATGCAAACAGTGCCGGTTACGCCTGGGTCAGCTGTGGCCCAGGTTTGCATAGCCACGGGAAAGGTCAAACATTATATACACCGAGGTAAAAATATCCAACGATAAAAGAAAAAAAAAGCGAACGTGAACATTAAAGTTTTTTCTCTTTGCTATTTCTAGCCAAAAGTGAATTGGATAAACATTTGTTGCACTCAGGGTGTCTTCAGCTCAAAAAACGATCCTTATGGCACTTTGAGACTGGGGAAAATTTATTCTATTATCTTTAATTTTTTCTCTAGGTTCTCTGGGTTCCACGCAGTCGTGTTATACGTTCTTCCTTGTCTTGCCACTAGAATACACTCTATTATGTCATCATTATTGTCAAATGGAATCTTGTGAACAAATAGTTTTTCCTTCATTGTTTCGCCCAAGGCCCACTGCAAATCCTCAATGGACAACCAGCACAAGGTTCGAACCCATTCGCCTTTGCAATAGGGATTCTGATCATACCAGTGGAGAGCACGTGTTATGTGATTATGCTGTTCACCAAGGAGACCTCCTGGGGTTAGCGGATGCTGTTGTAAAGACGAGTAAATTGTTTCATCTGGGACATAGCTGTCCTTCAGGAAATTAACAAAGTCTTTTCCTACCTCACTATGGAGAAGAAACTCGATAAATTCTCTAATGGCAACAATGTGTGTTGAGCCTTTTTGTATTGGAATATTGTGGGGCGGTGTAGACTTTTCAGCTCCTGTGTTGTAAATAGTGTGGTCTTGTAAAATGTGAACTTTCTTAGTTCTATCAGAATTATGCCCAGGCATCGGGAAACTTTCTATGCTGTTCGTATTGTTTAACTTTTGTAAAGCTACCACGATTTGACTGTTTTCATAAAGTGGAAAATCCTGTCCAACCAAGTTAATGTAATATTTCCACTTTATTGTTGATTGCAAAAGCTCCTCCATGCAGTTTAGCTGAGCTTCAACAATAGAAAAATGTCCCCAGACAACATCCGCGCTCTTTTTGGACACAAACACATTCGGCAGACACCGTATCATCGCAAGTATTGCTTTACGAAAGACGTCTGGAGACTTCTTGTCGATATGAATACAATAAACGTTGTGTGGCATGTAAATAGCTTGCAGAAGTTGTTGGAACAAACGAGCATCTTTGTGGACACTGAAGCCAAAGGCGATTGGTAGTAGCTGTTCCGCTTTTGTAACCGCACGGTGAGGAAACCGTGTCCTTAAAACATGCACACAGTCATCATTTGGTTTGTAGCTATCCAGGATCTCCGAGTCAGTCTTCAACATGGTCTTACTACTCATTTTCTCTTCGCCAGATATCAATATTTCACATCTTTTCCATTTTGACGCCTAAGATACAACAATCGAAAGGACAGTACAATTATGATGCATTAGAAAGCAAAAACGTCATAAAGTTCTGTTCAGAGCTTTGTTTTAAAACTTGTAGATACTTTGTATTTGTAGTGTACATCCAGGACTTCCCTAGCGCGCGAAGTCTGAAGTCACGTGACTTAACAGCGAGAGTGTTTAGAGAGTGTAGCGGTGAGCTGAGTAGTGCTCGAGTTTATGGCCTCAGTGGCACATTAGAAATATTACACTTTTTGATGCATGGGGCAATCAATATTGTTCTTTTCATATTTACAGTAATAGGCCATTTCCGAGTTCCAAAAACTCTGACTTTAAAAACGAGGCTAAGTGTAAAACCTTTCCTTTGAAAATGATTTTTTTTGCAAGAGACAAAAAAACAGCAACTCGAAAATGGCCTATTTAAACTTGAGAGAATCATGTGTTTTTAGTAAACTGTTGTTTATCAGCATCATCATCAAGTTTCATTTCTGCAAATCTCTAGCCCGATGGGTTGTAACAAGTCAAGAAAAAGCACTTGTACACGAAATTCCACTGAACTGTATTTATTCAGGATTAGTAGACTCCACTTCCGAAGGTTACAACACTGATAGGCTCCACTTTCCCGAACGATTACTTGATAGTCACACTACTCTTAAACATCAAGATGGAGACTCCAAGAAAGAAGCACTTTAACAGAACTTTCCTAGAGCACTTGTGAACCTTACAATGACATCATCGCGCACATATGTGCACTGACTAATTAACAATTAAGGTGTTTTCTAAAGAGTTCAAGCAGTTCCTAAACACGTGGAACCTACATGAGTTCCCGACCCTCTCAAAGTTTATTGTTTCGCGGGGCGAAAGTTAGTTCTTTATCCCTTCCGCTAACAAACTTTTATCCCCTTCCCTAACAAACTATTATGAGGGTCTGTATGGGGAAACCTTATAGCTGAGAACTACGCAAAACAATGGTGCGGAAGCTGTTAGGGAACAAGCTTTCAGTAAAGGGATAAAAAGTGCAAAATTTATTACCTTCTCTTGGGGAGAAAACTGGGACCACTGGGACATCTGCATCTGTTTTTGACTCTTTTCAAAAGTAAAAAACAACAACAAAAAAATGGAATTAACGATAATGTATTCAATTTCCAAATGACAAAAATGACAAAACCTCACTCAGTAAAAAAGAAACGAATACTGCTCTGTGATTTCAAATTCTAGGGTATTTTGAGACTAAGTCGCGTCGTGACGTTAAGCAGCTTCATCATCATCATCATCATCATCAACATCATCATCATCATTTAAATTACACCTGTATTATATTTTATTTCCTTCTAGCATTAGCTTATTCTTCTTTATTGCTTATTCATTTTGACCAGCTTTCGCGTAAAGTAGTGATCAAGTGTTTAATTTCGGTGTTAACAAGGCCTTATTTCTTGCCCAGCTTTCTTTGTGTTAGTCTTAAAGCGGCACAATGATTAATGTTACTGAAAAGAAAAACAAAACAAAACAGAACAAAACAAAACACAAAACAAAAACAAAAAAACGGCAATAAGAGGGACTAACATACAAAAAACGGAAACTTTCGAAAACAAGCGGGATTGAAGAACCCGCGTTTGCTGTTCTGGGCCTTTAACATTAACGACCTTCAGGTTATGGATCTGCGCGCAAGGTAAAGAAAAACTTAGGCTTCAAGTGTGCGGTTGAAAAAGCTAAAACTACGGCGATTCACGGCTCAGTTCTAATGCCCTACAGGAAAAAAGAAAGGAAAATAAGGACTGACTAACATCTACTGTTGCTAATGGCGTCAGGAACATAGGCATCCACTGAGGACATGGACTGCGACTCTTACGTCTTGATGCAAACATTTCCTACGTTTTTGACGAATAGAAAATCATGTGCTGATCATTCGACCACGGTATGATCTTTTTCAAGGCTATGTTTCCACGTAAACGTTTGCAAACGAATAAGAATTTTTCATCGACGCGACTGTGGTGATGGCTTACAGATAACAGTTTTCCTCATGTACTCTGATATAAAGTGCTCCTACACGCCCAAGATTTACAAAGGGGCAGAAATGAGATAGTAGATCATTTTATATTCAACAAGCGCGAGAGGAATGACTCTTTTATTATTGGATTACGAACAAAATTTTCCAATGGTTGACATGAGGCAACGCTCATAAATTAGTTGTATTTCTAAATTGGTTTTTCCCACATATCGGACCCTGGCACAATTCGGCGTATATAACATCTTTCAACAAGACATTGCAGAGACTAACATCTTTAGCTGTTAGAGACAGGAATGGCCGAGATTAAGATAGCATGTTAGGCTCTGTTATATGAACTTATTAAGAAAAATTTACTTTAAAAGCGAAGATTCCGTTGGCGTAGTACAGTACAAAGAACAGCAACAACTAAATACTTATTGGTGCAGACATCGCGAGATGTGTAGTTTCAAGGGTCGTCTGATCGCATATCTGTTCTTATTGAATTAACCCTTTATAAGCCCTAAGAGTGATCAGCATCAAATTTCTCCTTGTAATATCAATGCTTTGTAAAACAGAGTGGTCATGAGAATTACGGACATGGTCACACAAGATGAACTTCATTGATATTTTATCAACTTCTCCCAACTACTTCTGTAGGAAATGAATGAAGGCAACAAATTAGAATTCAATTTTTGATCTTGGGGTTTAAAAGGTTAAAATAGCTCCAAAAAAGTGTACCTTTACCTTAAAAAACAGCTTTTTCTTAAAACGATGCCTACGAATTAAACGCTGTGACATGCGTTGTTTATGATTCTTTTTCTGTTCTTCAGAGGAAAAGTGAGACTTCAGACGTAGCTAATCGAAAGAAAAAAGGTTTCAAACAACATGTGTAGCCTAAGAATAAATAATGCATAACTAAATAGATAGTCCGGCCAGTTCGACAGTCACTATGTGGGAAGTCATGGGCTATTTTTCCGTTACATCCCGTGCTTGAGAGAAAACGAAACAAGTTTTTTCTTTCTTAGCTATTCACCCAGCCTGATATTCATCATTGTTGATTATTCATCACACCTAGGCAATAATTGTCCAGCTTACAGGACGCGCGTCGTGTAAACTAATAGACTGGGTCAGGTAGATGCTACAGAATACGAAGTCAAAATTGTGTACTTGTAAGAAATGGATAGGTGCTTGGTTTTAGCGACGTTATTCTAACGAAGGAAATGCACTCAGACTCCTTAACACCAAAGAATACTTTCTTTCACTCCTCGACATAGGTAAGTCATGGATTTACAAAAATGATAAAATAATGATGATAACAACAACAACAACAACAATAATAATAATAATAATAATAATAGTAATAATAATAATAATAATAATAACTGTCTGATAGCGTTGACAAACGAGAACGAAGACGAAAACAAGTAAGGCCATCCAAGTCTTAACCAATGGTATCACTGCAAAGTTCACTCGAGTTCATCTTCACAGGCATACCGCCGACGGTCGATTCTTTACGACAATATTTCCCAAATCTCGCATCGTTAAATCACTAATTGCCTAATTTCATGCCGCCCGGGAGCCTGGCACTAACGGATTTTCCCGGCCTTTTTAAATTCCGGATTGAAAATGGCTTCCAAAATAGAAGGTAAAGCAAAGGTTAGTTGAAACGATGTTAAGGGCCAGATTACTCCAGAAAGTTAATATTCTAAAGCTAAGAACAGTTGTTTTACTGCTATAAAGAATCTCGATTAAGAATTTCGAGATAAGAAAGATCTAATGGGAGACTTTCGGTACTTGGAAGTATTGGAAGGATTCCCGAATTGTTCGATAAAAAATTTGAACAAAGAACCGTCGAGTTTAGCTCTTTTTACGGCCCTGGATCCAACCGAATATTGGGGAATGATAAGGGAGTGGATGTACCTGTTTTTACAAACCGTAAAATAAAAACTACCAAAAGGCGAAACACGACAGAGTGACCCTGAGTGAAAGGGGAACATTATATATTACGTCGGCAAGGCTTACATTAGATTTTCTCCCTGTCGCTGTGTACGGTCTCAGTAGAAATCCTAAAGATCAGACCGGAAACAATTCTCAATGAACATGGATAAAAGGAAGTGTACTTCAGTCTTACTTGAGAGGCACTTCTCGTCCGGTAACACTGCAGTTCCTGTAATTTGGGCAATTAGCTTGTTCTCACAATCAAGAATGTCACGTACATCTACCTTTTGGATAGCATGCACTGAGTATAGACTAGTCCCTTATCTTCCTTCATGTGAACAACACTAGGTTTAACATACATAACGCCACAAAGTTCACTCCACTCAGTACCTTTCACGGACATTACTCTTTTCCGCGACGGGAATAATCCAGGTAAGCCCTTCTGTACTGCCCTTTTAAGTTTTCCTCCAGTATAATTAGGCTACGGAGTGTCGGCTCCTTAAGTTTAGCTTCAAGGCATGGCAGAAATACTGCATCCTTTCCTTATAAGTTTAGGCAGATTCTCCGAGGGAATATTGATCAATATTTCTTCGAAAAAGAATGCTTTCGTTCGAGTTTTCACTCCCACTATCCGCCATTTTGAAACTGGACTTTTTAAAAAGTCCGGGAAAATCCGGTAGTGCCAGGCCCCCGCGCGGTATGAAATTAGGCAATTGATGTATCCCCTCCAGTTCCAAATATCATTTCAACCTCGTTGAAATCATTTAAGTCCGAAACTCGATTCCTCTTTTCTCTAAAATCTTGATTCCGGTCTGACAAATGCATAAACCAATTCCTGGATCCCGTAAAAACAAATGTTTGAGAAACACTCCTTAATATCCCCCATTAGTATTTACGAAATCAGTGAATAGCAATTTCCGCGCCTTTTGATTGGCTACCGTAACTCGGAATTCCCTTCGCTATTCACCTCTGGCTATTCTCTGTTTTGAGACCGAAGCTAGATGGCGTTTCGTTTCGAGAACTTTTTGGAACACGAAATTTGAGCGATAAATGAACAGGTCGCACAAACAAATACCAAGAGAGCGATGAACTTTGGCTTGTCGGTGTTTTATTACTGGTAGGTAGAAAATTATTTTCATGCTGAAGTTACAACAAAATCGTAAAAATGCACTTGACAAAATCCCCGAAATGTTTGTAAATTGTAAACAAACTTCCTACTAAGTGACGATTTTAATTTAAAAAAAGTAACTTTTTTTCATTTTTATCCAACCGATTTGGTAAATACTAAAACAACTATCCCCCTCGGGGTCGGTTCATAGCGCTAGATATAGACCTCCAGGCTCCGCGTCTCGGTCTATACCAAGACTTTTCACCTCCCCTTCGGGGGATAGTTACATACTATACTTAGTCATGCTATAGATGCCGAGGTTACTAAGTATTTAACGTAAATCCTCCATTAAGTCCCCTCTCTCAAATAAGCCCCCTCTCTATAAGCCCCTCTCCCCTCCCCTTATTATTCTTCACTAATAAATGATAGACTGTATTAATCAACCACGACTTTACAACTTCAATTCACGTGTTGGAAGTTAGGATTTGTTTCTGATCCTCGGCTGCATGACTTCCTAGTTCTTGTCCTTGAGCTTTTCCACTTACTTTGTAGTTTTTTAAGGAAAGCTGATAGCATCGTCTTTATAAATTAAATACGCCCCCTCTCAAATATCCCCCCCCCCCCTCCCCCGTTAAACGTGTTTAAAATAAATAAGCCCGAGGGGTGGTTAATAGAGGATTTACGGTAGTTATTCATTACCTTTTCCTCGGGTAATAGAAGCCAATGAGCCATCTAAGAATAAGAAAAAGAAAAGATACACGACTATGAAAAGGGAAACAAACAATTGGATCACAGAAATATTCACTTTGTAAAGTACGTGAAGAGTGACGCTAGTGGTTGTGATCTAAGCGATCGACGGTTTATTAGTCTTTCCATTTGATCAAAATGTTAACCGAAATTTCACCAGAAATATCCCTGAAAATTTGTTAACCGGAAAATTCCAAAAGCGCACCGTTCCGAGGAACATTTGGGTAATTTTGGCTCGCAACACGAATGGAAGGGAAATTTCCAGGAAGAAATCTAAGAAATTTCGGTAAACCGAGAGAAACGCCCATTTGCTAAATAGAACTTTTGGTATACTGACCCAGGAAAATGTAATAGTTTCAATCCGCTATCTCGTCCGATCGTTGGTTGTATGTAGTCAGTCTCTTTTCTTGTATTTTGACGTTCTTAACATTTCTCACTCTTTTATTCTATCCGGGCCGGGTGTAATTGGCCTCAGCTGTTCCGTTGTCCCTGCCGACCCCCTACTTTAGTTTAATTATGTTTTATGTTTTTTTTGTTATTATTTCTTCGGCGAAGCTAATAAATTAAATAACATTTTGCTGAATTGAAATCAACCCTCAGTGCTTTGAATGCTTACCCTTGGATTCATATTTAAGACATCTGACTGCTGGAGAATGAAAATCAATATCACGGTCAAAGCGACTATAAATAAAGTCGCAGTTTTGGTTGTTAATAAAGCCATCGAAGTTTAACCCTGTGAGCAAGAAAGTAACATTTGTTTGAAAAAAAAAAAAAAAACGTTAATTTATTCGTGAGTGAGTTTAACTCACACAAAGGAAACCAGGGCAATATTAGTCAACGAACACAGACGTACATGTAATTCCGGTCGTCGCTTCTGATCTCTGCACCCAGGCAGAAATTACTGTTTGCGACCGCTCACAAAGCGATTTCTGCGACTTTTCACGGGCAATAATAAACTATTACTATAAGTAAGTGGAATGAGATCGTCCCGGGGTGGAGGCTAGAGCTGAGTGATCATATTCCACCTACAGCTTGTCTGTGGCATTTATATTCCTGGGTTCAACCTCTTTTTAGTTGAAACTATGCTCATGTCGGGTTGGTTGTTCATTGCGGGTTACTCAGATGATAGCGTGTTTCCAAAAACTATTAAAATAAACATATTTACGTTGCAACCAAAGTAAAAGTAAAGCATCTGAAATTTACAATTTAAGTGTGACTTATGTTGAAAATGTGTTATTAACGCTTACAGATTCTTGAAATTGTTAAAGTATTTAAAGCTACTTGGAAAATTAAATAACTCGAGTTATTTTAATCGATGAAAGAAGCCTTTAAAAGTTCAGGTTCCAGAGACTTTGTAGAGTGATCACTACCGTGGAAGAAACGTGTTAAAAACCCACGCACGAGTATTTTTGACTTGTTTAAAGACGAGCAAGGTGAGCCTCTCTTGCAACTTCTGCCAAATTAACTGGAAATCAAAAATCAAAACAACTTCGTTCCAGCAAAGGACGACACTTTTTCAACAACTTTACACAAGGGGCCCTCGCACATCCCATTAGATTGTTCGAAAATGCCGTAAATAGAGATTACTTACTTTACCGATGCGAATACCGATGGATGCAATATTCAGTGAAGATTATTTTTTCGCGGCCATTTTGAATTTTGTGGTAAAAGGGTGTGAGGTCTGGAACCAAGAAATATTTTTGGTCCCAGGCCTTGCACCAACTGACCGCAGAATTCAAAATGGCCGGGAAAGGAAACTTTTTTTCCACGCATGGATAAAAGTAGGTATTAAACCTTATCTTCAATATACTATATAGTCTAATCGGATGGGACGGCCCCCTATTACTTTATCAGATTAGGAGCAAGAGTTGAGAATTCACCTTTTCGAAACTAATAGAAAGAAATAAATTCCTTAAGTCAAGACATCGGTATCAACAACAAACATGCGGTTGGTCCTTCGTCTAGCTTTGAAAATATTCACCTTTTAAATAGCCATTTATACTTTTTAGCAATAAAACTTAAGTTTACAGTCTTTAAAAAATTAGTGGATACCTAAAAAGGAAAACTGTAGTTAACAGATAAGAAACTCGCGGTAGACCTTAAATTTCATAAAAACTGGATCTCTAAAAGGTACAAATGGCTATTTAAAAGAGTAGCAACCTACAGTGAATGTCCTTCCTATGTATGTATCTAATTCTTGCTTTGATATTTGCAAATAGAGGAGTTGACTTTTGCTTACTTAATTGATGCATCAAGAATGCAATTGAAGATATGATTGAATCAAGTCTAAATCATTCTTAACCCTTTCACTGCCAAATTTTGCCAAAAGCAAATTTCGAAATTTCATTTTAAATTTGTGCATTTCACCATGAGTAAGTACAGGCAGAGAGCTTTCATCTGAATGGTCACATCATCAGAGTCACCTTACAAAACTCCATTAAGCAGTCTGGCAGTGAAAGAGTTAACAGCCCCCCCATGCCTCACCATTTTCCGCCCATGACTCCAACTTGCCTCATTCTAAAGCAAAATAAAATTGAATGGGAGAGTTAAATTGACGTGCCAGATTCAAACTTTTTACCTTCCATGAATATACAGTTTGCAAAAAGCAAATTTCGAAATTTCATTTTAAATTTGTGCATTTCCCCAGGAATAAGTAAAGGCAGAGAGCTTTCAACTGAATGGGCACATCATCAGAGTCACCTTACAAAACCCCATTAAGCCGTCTGGCAGTGAAAGAGTTAACCCCCCCCCCCCCCTTCCTACTTCCCACCCCCATCTGCCCCAACCCTGAAAGAAGGGACAAAGACATCAAAGTGAAGGAATCTAATGATCTGTTCGTTCTAATAATTTATAAGCATAAGGAATAAAAATGAAAGATATTGGTAATAATCTGGTACAAGTAGCTGTAACAAGGATGGGAATGTATTCTAGGGAGTAGCCTTCATGAGTGGTTGGGATTTAAGATTTGAAGGTCTGGAGTCTCAGACCTGCTCTTACTCTACCTGGATTAATTGACTTCTCGGTAATCCAAATTCAGCTTGTTAGAAATTATTGTAACTGCTTCAGCTGGTCAAACTTTTCTCCTAGGGAAGTTAATCATATTATAGTTACTTAGATAGCAGATGTAGTCATTGTCACCTACCATGCTACAGCACCTGCCTTTCTTAGTCATTGTAACACCCAAACCCTTCCCCAGGGCTTTTGCCATAAGAGAAAGCCATAGGGAAGGTGGAGGAATTTCCTGGGGGGTTACTTGGGTTAATTTTTGCTGGGTATGTGCCACTGGCCTGTCAGAACCCCCACCCCATTATAGTCTATTCTGTGGCCAAATAAAGACCCCATCTTAGTCACTTTTGGGAAAATGTAATTTTCACGATCCCAACTTAGTAACTTTACGTTTGTGCATCTCTTTTATAAAGCCTTTTAACTAGGCCACCCTGAAATGAATTGACACATTGGTTTAACTTAATGAAGTAAAAATCTTCCCATTTTTAAAGTCAATCCAGCCATGAAAATACAACCCCATCCAGCAGCAAATCCCCATTAGCCTATTACTAGGAAGTACCCTTCCCCCCCCCCACCCCCCCGGGAGAAATTAGACCTTGTTTCCATGGAGAAGAAAACCATAGTGTCTACAATCACAGACTAAGGGACTGTCTGACTGACTGTCTGTCTAAGGGACTGTCTGACTGTCTGTTTCACAATGAAAAATACACAGCTGGGGCAACTGGGGCAGTTGATTTGTGTTATGGAGGATCCATGCCTACCTTTATCATAAAAATAGGGAGCTTAGTTTTTGAGGGACGCACGCCACGTGGAAGTGAGCCTTTCTCCCTTTATATATGCCTTGCCGCTAACAAATTTGTATTGCTAAGTTTCTTTTCTCTTATGAAGAGGATTTATCCGAGAGTTTCAAACAAACCACTGACCAATGATGCAAAAGGTCCACTTCCTGTTGACGTCCGTCGCTCAACAACACTGTTGCTGTTGCTCCCTAATCACTATTCACCACCTCAAGTTTGGTTGGTCCCATTTTGTGCCTTAATTTTTGCTATACAAGGGACCTAGTGAGACAGCTCTTTGTAAAAATGTTACAGTCTAATTTTTGACTTCTAAAGTTCACCATTTGCTGATTTGATTTATCCCTAAAATGTACCCAAAACCTAGTCTGCCTTTATTTGCTATGATGATTTATAGAAGTGCTTAATCTGTTTGGCGAAGGGCTAGCTCATAAGCTTTGCGATCTTTCTAAAACACTGAACCACCAAATTACATGTAATATATATTTGAAACTACCCACTCAAAACTGAGAGTGAGTTTATGGACAGTTTTACAAGTAATTGAAACAAAGGAAACAAAATAAACTAAGAACGCAATTATTGAACCAAAACATATATAACCTGTAAAAACCCGATACAAGCCCAATACAAGGCACTGACTTTTGACTGAATTTTGAGGAAATGGTAATTTACATTACAAAGAGTGACTACTCTGGTTCGTAACGCAATCCGCCTAAAGCAACTGCGTATACGTTTTTCGAGTTTCGTTTAGCTGGTCGAAGGAAAATTTAAACTTCTCAACGTTACGTTTGATGCCTTCAAGCACGGAAAAGGAAATTCGCCATGGGCAACGTAGCGTTCATTCTGCAACGACTGGAAGCTGATTACACAAAAGAATAGCGTTCAAACGCCGCGACAAATTCATGTGATTGGCAGTTTTGCCATACATTACCCAAAGACATTCGGAAATGGTTGTAAACACAGCTGATGAATCGGAGCAGCAGCTTAAAAAGTACACGAAAGGCAGAACATTGTTATTGTCATTGTCATTGTGGTGCTGAAGATCGTGGTTACGGTACAACAACGCTTGAATTAATTAAAAAAATAAGACTAAAGTGCATTGAATATTCAGAGTAATTAAATTGCGTTGTTCAGCTGGTTGTTTATCTTCATACACTGTATGTAGACGATTTCAGCGCCCACAAAATGAATGAAAATGAAAACCTCGAACAGGAAATGATAATTTCTTTGGAGCTATATTTTACAATGCGAATGCGAAATCACAACACAAAGGAATTATTTGCGCCCGTAAGGCCGGACCTGCTATCCATAATGCCAATCACAACATACAACCAAATCACATATGGTCCATCGATGGCAACTAAGGAATACAAAAAGAAAAAAATCCGAAATGTTTTTTTCCCCTCGCTCTCTCTCTCGCTCTCTCTCTCTCTTGCATTCCTAAATCTCGCGAGAGACTCTCAAGATATTTTTCAAAAGATAACATGGGTAACGGTGGCATGTCGATGAAAGACAGCAATCGCACATTCGGTACGAGGTGAATGAATAACTCGGTAAAGGAATATAATATAACATTTCTGATACTGTAACGGAAGATTGTATTGTCAAGTAGGTTGTAACAGCGATGATTCTCAGCGTGAACAAACTAAAATCAAGTGTGAAGGGTTCTCACCTGTATACTCACCTACATTAAAATATCATAAAAGGAAAATATCATTCATACACACCTCGTGTTTTCTTAAGTTGATGCGCTGCTTTTTTCGCTGGTAGAAATGCTATATGAATCTTAGCAAGAAGGCTTCCAAAAGCTCTCTACTGATTAAAGCACCTGATCTGTACATCTTACGAGGACGTGAACGGTGAACACAACGCTAACTGAAGATCGATATCATTCGACGTCACGCTATAATGTAAATATGCAAATTAGGTGTTAAGCTGGTTAAAGGGGCTATGTCAGCTGGAGAGCATGCGCTCTGAGGTTATGCAAATTACTTTCAACTGTCAAAATTCTATTGTTTTTAACGCGTGACTTTCTCCACGTGAGTTCTGAGGTTATGCAAATTACTCTCAACTGTCAAAATTCTATTGTTTTTAACGCGTGACTTTCTCCATGTTCTCTGTCACGTCCAAGGCTTCGAATTTAGAGAGGTTAACAAGCGAAATGGGTTTAGATAAGGGATATTTCGATAGAATTTACGGAACGTTTCTTCTCTGGTTATGCTAGATCAAGAATAAAATTCTGCTATTTTCCAAAAATATGCTCGAACACAAACAGTTCAAAAACATGGCATTTACAGGATCTAACTCGTACCAAGGTGCCTCTCTAAGTCCGTTGAGAACAATCTGGACGAGCAAACGGTCGTGTTTATCTTTGCCGTGAGTCCAGATAAATACAAGAAGGAATCTAGCCGAATTTTATAATGTTTCCTTTGCCAGGAGTTTAGTTTGGTCACGAAACTCATGGCCTGATGCTCTTGTAATCGTTTACCAAAAACGGCCGCCGCCAACTCGATAGCCGCTTCATTATATGTCCACATACTTTGAGCACAAGAAAAATCCAAGAGCCAGCAACCAGTAAAATAACTCAATAGACAGGTTCTGTGAACTATAGGGAAGATTCCATCAAAGATTCCATCACTCATTGTGGAGTAGCCGTCATTAACTCTGCCATTAGAACGGCCGCTGATAAGAGGACACAGTAAATCCACGTAAAAACATTCCACAGGCAAACAATTTCAAAATAACGCCAAACAATTATTCTGTGATCACCATAGAACGATTCTTAATACAAAACTTCGCTAACTATCGAACGATGGCTGAGATTTAGACAGATAAAAACAGCCTTCCAAAATCTCCGACAGAACTTGAAAAAGACGGGCCAACTTTTTCAAGTTTGTTTTCATTGGCTCGCGCATGCGTGTGGGGTGACATAGCCCCTTTAAAGCATACCCGTAAAATTCCGAAAATAAGCGCCGGGGCTTATATTTTTTAAAGGCCCTTTTTGAGGGGCTTATTTTTGGAGGGGCTTATCTACGGAGGGAAATTTGCGTTTCAAATTTACCGTTATTGCTTTGTTTTACTTTGTATGTGAGGGCAATTTTCCAAGTACAAGCCCCTGGGGGGCTTATATTTGGAGGGGCGATTTAACGGAGGGTTTTTTGCGTTACCGGTTTGGGGGGCTTATTTTTGGATGGGCTTATACACGGAGGGGCTTATACACGGAATTTTACGGTATCAGCGACTTTCACATAGCAGGAGCACCCAACCTCAATTTTTGGAAAATATCTGTTCGGAAGACGATTTGAGATCTAGAATTTTCGGAACATTTGTTGTGAAATTTCTTGCTTGCCTGCCTCTCCTAACTCTCCTAGGATTTTCGAACATCTAAAAATGGTATAATTGTTCAGTTTTAATAGTCTGCTACACACAAGTGGGGAGGAGCGTTGCGTGACGACTCCAAAAACGGCTGTGTAGCAAACTACAGTTTTAACGGATTTTTACCCAAAAAAGGTCACCTAAAATATTTGGGAGCCTTTTTTCTGGCTGAAATTTTCGAAAAGGTTAGTTTTGATCCCTGTAATTTTCGGAACTTTCAGCTAGGAAATGCGAACAGTTGAAAAATTTTTAGAGGATAAAAATATGCCTATATCTAACGTTTTTAAACGTTAGATATCTAAATCTGTTCTGCTATATTTAAGTGGTTTTGAACTATTTTCTCGTTAGGTGCCCCTGAGATAATTGCTCTTAATACACCTTGCTTTTAATTCAAATTTTTTGCATACCCCTTGTTTCAAATTTCTCCTGGGTATTGAAAACAACGCTTATCAAAATTTTATTGGCGAAACAAATAAAGTGCTCGGTGTTTAGACAATGGCTAAATTTGCAATAATTTTTGTCTACAGACATTACAAAAAATTAGCCGTTAAGTCACTTTGTATTATTATTGTCACGGATATGATGAGAATTTATTGCAAGTTTGATATTGAAAACCGTTTGACGGAAATTGAATTATTTTCCTGAATGGACGTATTTCCCAATCTTATGACATGAACTTTACTCTAGGAATGAGGACCGTCACGTCTGGGAAGACGACTTGCTGGTTACAAACAGTCACTCGGACAAAGAAGTTGTTGACCAAAACAAAACACTGACTGAAACAATCAGGTAAATAAATTTGCACCTCGTAACTGAGTTTTTACTTTTTCTTAGCGGTTCAGGCACTTGTTTGGTAATCTGCTCGGTATTGTCATCTGTGCAGGTCGATTTACCAAAATTACGAATCAGTGCTTTCAGCTCAGTCAGTCCCACAACAATACACAGCTTAAAGGTTAGGATTCATCAGGATATTAACCTTACATCTATGAGTATGCAGCAATTGAAAAACGTCCTAAAGCGATGACATACTATCTGAGAGCACTGTGAGCACTATCACTTTTAAATATTAAAGGTATGCGCAGTGAACCCTTAAGACTCCCTCTGTTAGGTTCTGTTAGGTATCGCACCATGTAAGGCAATCCAAGACAATCTTGGATTCTGGATTCCACGCCGTGGATTCCGGATTCCAGACACTTGATTCCAGTGTATTTTTAAGTGGAACTTGGATTGTGGATTCCAATCCTTAGTAGGGTTCCGCATTCTTTGAGCTGTATTCCGGCAACCTCGTCCTCAGGGCTTTTCCCTTTAAAAATTGGTCGGGAAAAGGTCCCTTTTCCTGCCCCAACCATTTTTTAAGGGAAAAGCCCTGGGGACGAGGTTCCAAATCCCAGGATTCCGGATTCCACAAGCAAAAATTTCACGGATTCCGGAATCCGGAATCCGGAATCCCATACATAGGAAAATAGGTAGATTCTCATACTTCCTGGCAAAGTGATATTTTCGCTTGAAATTTCCATGGGTTTTAACGCCACATCCAGACGAATACGGACAATTTTCAAACTGCATATCGTTTTCACCGAATTCTTATGGAAGAAACTTTAACTTACTCTGGAGAGTGGTTTAAAAAAGATGCGGTTTCGATGAGCAGATTAACTGGTATCATGCGGATGGAGGACCAATTCGCGCCAAAAAAAAAGTGGTTTCCTGATTCGTCGTGGACTGCGGGGCCTCGGCAGTCAGACAGACAAGCGGTACAGAAGGCAGGCAGGTGGGCAGGAGACAGACACTCAGACAGGCTGATTTTTCTTTATTTGATGTCTTACAAAACAAGAACGTGAAACTTATTTAAATTTTTTTGTCTCCTTTCTTTTATCGTAGCAATCACAAACATGCTTTACTGTTCCTCCTATCAGGGTCCATCCTTAGCTCTCCAAACCCAAGGTCTATTTGACACTATAAGCTTGAGACTTTTTCTTCAGTTCGCAGAGGAACCTGTCTATGAATACTTATGTATTATTGTTATTGGCAAAATGTATTTACGCCGAGTAGAATTTCTGTTGAATTTGCTCTACTGGGTATTATCTAGTTGACTGATTAGCTGCCGCAAATAGGCGAGGGGTGAACCAAAATTGACAGTGTATTTTATTAATTTTAGCTTTGTAATATGGTTTTATTATTATCATTATCATTATCATTATCGCTATCGTTATCGTTATCATTTTCGTTATCGTTATCGTTATCATTATCGTTATCATTATCATTATCATTATCGTTATCATTATCGCTATCATTATCGTTATCATTATCGTTATCGTTTATCGTTATCGTTATCGTTATCGTTATCGTTATCGTTATCATTTTTATTATCATTATCATTATCATTATCTTTATCACTATCATGGCTATTATCCGATCCTAGCATTTTCGTAATAACGAAGCATTAATGTCATCCTGACTTGAATGGGCACCTTGACTAAAAAGGCCACCAAATCCAGAAGAATGCTGGGAAAATTGCTGTCACGTAGCGAGTGGCGGTAGTCGCCGTTGCCACTGAAAGTAAAAAGAAATAACAATATTGATTGTCATGGTTACAAAAAATGCGGGAAAAGTAATTCCCACGATAATGCTCTCGTTGCAAATTCATCGTAACCTGCGTGCGCATTGCAGCCGAACTCGACACCCGAAAGGTAACTACAGAATACGCAAGGATGCTCTGCGACGAAGGCTAATTTATCGCGATGTTTACAAAATAAATTAAAAAGTGGTCCCTAAGTTCAGTTTATTCTAGTCATCGACACTGACGGGCGGGGGACTTCAGGACTGTTGAGCAGACCTGCCGGGTTAGTTTTACGGATTGCGGCGTTTTGGTTTTATAACGCACGGTTTTCATATGTTTTAATAAGTTTCTTCACGTCTCACAGAGCATCACTTTTGTGTACTAGCACCTTACAAGGGCTCTGTCGGCTATATTTTACAGTGCATTAGATTGTTCGGTCTAGTTTTGGCTCTCAGTTTTCGAGAAATTCCGCACTAGCGCAATCATGGCCAATTTGGCAGTTTTCCTGCTGTTGAATGGAGACTCTTCTGCCGTCAATTCCAATGATTAACAAGTGAACTGAAGTGAACGCCTTTTGTACTGATTCAGTCTGCTTTTTCAATTTTTTTTTAATCTGTTTATTATAATTTTGTTGAATAAACAGGCTTGAAATCGTACACGCTGCTGTGTTTGTAAGGTGGTCTCATCACGCTACACGGTACTCCTATCTTACCTTAACACAATCTGATCTTGCATGTCATTATAATTTTTCACCTGCACAACCCATGCAACAAAACAGTTTTTCACGGAAAAAACTGTCGCAGAGGAAAACTCCCCGCCAATTAATGATGAACTCGCTGGTTTGAATGAGGCTTGAGCCAGATAAACAACGCTGTTTTATTTTTACTCACCGCCGATTAACACCGTTGAGTTTGATCTCACTTTCACAAGGAAAATATGTTGGCCCGGATCACCAAGAGCACTGCAAGAGTAGACACCAGAATCTGCCACGGTAACGTTTTGGATCACGAGCACTGATTGACAGTAGCGACACTGTCCTTTCAGGATAAACCGGCCACTGGCTGAAAACAAAAATATCGAAAAATACAGTCGTGCATATTAACTCATACAAATCAATAGCAGAAGCCCATTAAGACTTAGGAGGCTACGCACGAAAGCGACGTAATTGTCTGATTAGTAAGCTGGAATATTTGATCTCGGAGATCCCAAATACGTTTATAAATTATTGCTTATTATTGCTGTTATACCATTAGACTCTTCCGTATTTTTACCATCTCATCTTCATCGTACATTAAAGTCGTGCGGAGGCTGTAGAAATGCTAAGCGAATAACAAAGAAAACATTCATATATCGTTCGCCCACTTTTGAATCTTTTTCCGTAAGTTCTCTCTCTTTTTGTTATGTAGAACAAACTGGTCACAACTTTACCAGCAGAGATATTTGAAATATTTCCTTCCAGTTTATGTTACTATCCCAGTGACTTAAAAAAACTAATTTAATTGTATGTGACAATGACCTTCCCCAACAATTCAGTTATTGCTGCAAGTGGGTGAAATAAACAGAATATTTATCTATCTATCTAAATTGTCTTACGTTTGATGACCGCGCTTGATCCAGCCTGGTTTTTTTTCCATGTAACGTTCAGTGGGAAGCCTTGAGCACTACACACCAAAACCGCGCTGTCGCCAACATCAGTGACAACCTTTGACTCCTTGAATGGGAATCTAATGCGCACTGTCGAGCAGAAAAAAACATCGATAAGAAGATGTATTATGAACAAGCACTGGGAAAACTGGACCTTAGTAAAATGGCTATACTGTTTGTAAAGTTACGGATTTTTTACAAGATTGTAGATCTTCCCCTCTTTCTAGGCTACTAACAACACAACAGTAACACACTCTCCATCCAACTAAACTCATACCGTTTTCCTGCGTGCCTGATGCAATTACCCCTGTTTTTCTGAAAAGGATGATATCAGGAGAGAAGACAGATCACGAGAGTGACCGTACTATTTTCTTCAGTTAAAATAAACACTTCTACTCGTTTCTTTAGCGAACTTAACCTGATATCTTAATGGAAAATCCTCGCTTCCTTCCTTCCTTCCTATCACTGCATAGAAATAAGGCTCAATACAAAAGCAAAATCGTAAAGCTAAGAAAACACCTTAATACTACTTGTGGCGTAATTCTGAAAGTATACAGAGAAACATGCAGTTGGAAATTGTGGGGAGAATTGGGTGCATGTTTACTTTCTCTCACCATGTAGATAAGCCGTTGAAGTCGGTGTTATATTGTATGGTTGCAATGAATGAAGTAACACTGTTATCAGGCAGCCGTAATTGCCTCCATCCCTCGATTCGATATCAGCTAAGATATATGGCTGCATTATGTCATTGGTCTGTCTCACTGGTAGGCCGTTTTTCAGGAAGGTGACCTTTTCTATTGGTGTGGTCGTCTCGTTATTTTTGTGGGTAAGATTGCAATAGAGTCTCGCCATGTCTCCATATGATACAGTCATATTCGGTATCACACGAGCAACTGGTAGGTCCTCTCCTGAGAAAAAACAAGTATTAGTGTCTCCGACAAAAATAAAATTAAACTTAAAATTGGAGGGCTTTTATCTTCGGTGATCCATGTTTGATTTTTAGTTCTGGGCCCAGTTGTTTGAAGGCCTAGTTGTTCCAGACCCTGAGATGATACCCTGACTTACATGTACATTGGTTGCCTGTTGAATACCGTGTTATTTATAAAATCGTAGTGTTAGTATATAAGGCTTTATAAAGACTTTCACCAAGTTATATATCCAATTCGCTCAGTGTTTGTAGCAGCTCCTACTCTTTGCGTTCTTGCTCGAATAAGTTACTTCAGTTCCCGAGATCTAAGCTAAAGTGTTTCGGTGATCGAAGATTTTCTATCGCAGGACCTAAACTATGGAATAGCTTACCCGAATCTTTAAGAAAAGCCGATTCCTTGAATTCTTTCAAAAAACACTTAAAGACATTTATTTCACCAATCTTTTTCTTAATTTATAATTAGATTTTTATTCTGTAGTTGTTAGATTTTTTAGCGTTTTTATACATTTTTGTAAAGCGCCTAGAACAGTTAATGATATAGACGCTACACAAAGAAAGTTTACTATTATTATTATCATTATCATTATCATTATCATTATCATTATCATTATCATTATCATTATCATTATCATTATCATTATCATTATCATTATCATTATTATTATTACTATTATTGTTATAATGGTGGCAAAAAGAATTTTTCTCGGCCCTTCGGGCCTCCGTTTGGTCTAAACTGACGGGGGGAGGTGGGGGAGGGGGGGGGGGGAGGAAGTCCGGGCCCCTCCCTGGATCCGCCATTGCAGTCGTATTGCGGACAGCTCAACCACTTATTAACTGTCAGTTTAAAGCCTTATTTATCCAGACCATTTCTGTTTATGAACATCGCTGTTAACTTACTTGGTGTGACTCTTATTGCGAATCCAATTCTGTGCAGGCCAACTCCTCGAGGGAAACCAACGCAGGAGTATCTTCCGAACTGTAAATCATCTTGTACTGTTACATTTTTAAAGTTTAACGTAACAGTTGCTTTATCACCTGGTCAAATAACAATGAAAAATCGAAATAAATGAACGACAATTAAGAAACTGCAGGAAGCCAGTTGCTGTTGTCCTTAACACTAGACCCCTGTAAGGTTTGGTCTGCGATCTCGATCAGTCAGTGTGGGATTTAAGTAGGGTACCGCATGCACTATGGTCATGTAAGGTTTCTGTAGTGTAGATAGATGCTGGGTTTCTTCGGTGGAGAGAGAGCGAAAGCTTGCAGAGTCAACTCACTTTTTTAGCACACCGTAAGTTGACGGCAATTATTTGTGTCCCAGATAGCGGGAGACCATGGCGAGAATTTATTTTAGTCAGAAGTCCACAACTGTAATTCATTTTTGCGGGAAATTTGGCTGCTGTCTGCATGGTGTTTATAACATTTAACCGGTACGACGAGAACTGTCAAGTTGACTGTAATACTGAGGTCAGGACAAAGCAACATTGACGCCAATCAGAAATCAGTTTTCTCTTCAATTGGAAAATTCGAAACTTAGCTATAGTATAGTGTTTAAACTTTTTTTTTCCGCTGTGAACATAGATGGATGCATCTGGTCATGGAGGATGCCCGGAGACAAACTAAGGGTTTTCTTTACGTGTTCTTATCAAGCGCAATAACCTTGAGGCAAGTTGATGATTTACAGCCAATAAGGATCTCATAGTTTCTTAGCTAAGTGATTTCCTGAGGCTAATCTTAAAGTGTTGACTCTATCTCATGACGAAACGAAGAATTTTATCAGACAGATATTGCGCACGGTCCTTTTACGTGCATCATAGCATGGACTGAGACATACTCCCGACCAATCTTACTCACTTTGGCTTTTGTTCGTGGAGAGCAAACAAGTCTTCCCTGGTTAGCGATAAAAGTGATGATAAAAAAGCCAGTCAAGAATGAGGAAAATAATGATGACTTTGAATCAATTAACGACGACGACGATGATGATGATGATGATGATGAAACTTCAACTTTTTTCGCTGGCACCCACTTTGACGATGGTCTCATCGCTTCCCTCCAGCAATACAGGTTACAAATAATCGTAATATTTACGAAGCTAAGATCATAACTCATAGGTCTTACCCGCTGTCTTGTTCGTCTGATAGACTCTGTCATTGTCAGGAATATCTAACCAAAACGGACCTTGCTTCCTCTGAAACTTGACTCTCTCAGGCGGGTTTCCATTATCACCTTCGAAAACGCACGTTGAGGAGAGTTCTGATCCTGCTATTGAGAATGTGTTGTTTGGATAAGGTTCGAGAAGTCTGACAGCTAGAAAAAAGGGACAGGAAAAGTCTTGTTATGCCCCGTTTATATGGAGAACAGTTGTCCTGCTAGAAGGGTCACCCACCTGCCCGGGCTACCCTGGGCAAGCCAACTTTTCACACGTTTCACTACAAAACGAGGTGACCCACTAACATGAGAAACAAAAAGGTGGCTTGGCTAGGAGGGTGACCCGGCTAAGTGGGTCACTCTATTATGTCACACCTTGAGGGTCATACTCTGGCTCGCCAACTCGGTTAAGGCGAGACAATAAGAGCATGCGCGAGCATTGGCTCCGGGCAAAGGGGGCCGAACTTTTTTCTGATAGAGAGATTTTCGTATTACATGAAATGAAAACGCGCGAACAAAACAGAAACGACAAACAAACGGAAATAGAGCGATTTGATTGGTTTATCGAACGGATACAAACGCGCGCGCGTGGCTTTTGATTTTTTAAGCCAACGCTCGTGTGTAAAACTTCATGCCCGAAATCAACCTATACTTCGCCTTGACGTAATACTGTAACACGATTGGCCAGCAATGCCAACAATGCCTTCGCCACATTAGGGTTTTCTTTGGCGGGAAAACGAAGAGTCCATGTTTTGATCGTTTCACCCATTGGCCGATAAAACAACTATTGAACACTTACCGAAATCATTTTTCAAAGTCATTCGAAAATCGCTTTATAGACGCTCCCTAAAGTTGTCTCGGATTGGAAGGTGACTCTTCTTCCCTGGACAGATGGACTTTCTCCTCATAAACGGGACCTTAGTAAACAGTGTGAACCCTTACCCCTTACGGTTGGGGTATCGCAAGGATCCATCATGGGCCCGGTGTTGTTTACATTGTATGTAAACGACCTCTTTCGAGTTCCAAAACATTGCGAACCACTCGGCTATCGCTCTTCCTTGGGTTCCCCTGCAGCGAACTTGTCGACGTTATCTCTGCAGTAAACGAAGATCTTAAAGAAATATCGATTTGGTACTGTAGAAATTCGCTGCCCATTAAGCCTGACAAACCAAAGCTTCTTTATGTGGGCGTCCCACAACTCATGAGGACATTACCTACCCCCTTACCAAGTGCGACAATGCTGGGAACTCAAATCAAGCCTGTAACAGTTGCAAAGGACCTGGGAGTGTATATAGATGGTCATCTTAACTTTAACGAACATATCATTAAAACTGCCTCTGACTGTTTGTTTAAACTAACGAGAGTTAATAGGACAAAGCATCTCTTAGATAAAAAAACATTGATCTCTCTTATATATAAATGCTTTCGTTTTCAGCAAATTATTTTATTGTTCGACGGTATGGAGAAGCACGAGCAAAAAGAACGTTAGGAAACTTCAGCTAGTTCAGAGCTATGCTTGCAGAATCGTAGCTGCGGTTTAAGAAAGTACGATCATGTTTCAGAAACCCTGAAGTCCCTTAAATGGCTTAGCGTAAGGGATAAACCGCTTTTTAACGACCTAGTGATGGTGTACAAATGCTTAAAGAACCTAACACCTGATTACCTTCACGGACGCTTTCAATATCGTGCAAAAACTAACCAAAGAGTCGCTAGACAGAATAATGACCTTACGTTGCCTCGGTATAGGCTGGCCACTGGCCGAAAGACTTTCACCTACCGTGGAGCAAAACTGTACAATACCATAGCTAAAGGTATAAAAGACACGGGAAATCTAATCGTTTTTAAAAAGAGAATTTTTCAATATCTTTTTAATTCATAGGTAGTTTTTTATTATCGAAATGTAAATAGTCTTTAAAATTAATGTTCTATTACTATCATTATTATTTATAGAAATTCGTTATTTTATCATCGAAATGTAAATAGTTTTCTACTTTATTTTATTTTATTTTAATTCGTGTATGTATGGCGGAAGAGTCCCCAAGGGGGAGCTATGCAATAAAGTATGTATGTATGTACTTCCAGTCGATTTTGAACTGCGGTATACTGGTTACCTTGATATACCTAGTATTACGTTGCCAATGGATTACCTTGTGTTTCTTCCAGATTAGCTTTCCACAATGCAGAGTTAAAATCTACTCATTTACCGCACATGCTGTTCGATTACGGATGCGCCACCCGGATCATAAAGAATAATCCATGCAGCTACTCAAGCTCTTATCTAGATTAAGCGGATCATGAGCGAGTCAAAGCATATTTTGGAAATTATTAGAATCAAAATTGTATGCAAATAAATAAAATTACGATGTAAATCATTGTAGACGGTCTATATATCTTCGAAACGATTGATGTGGCTTGGTCACTATGTGGTTTAGTCAACTTTGCGCATTTACAATGAACTGTACAAAACGAAACATAGTATTACGTAATCATGTCCACAGATTGAACAAATAAAGATAATGCTTATGGTAAAACCTCTCTTGAAATCACACTGCAATGCAAATCCAAATAAAATAAATGCAATTAGTGTTAAGTGATAATTTGTGTTCTTCTTGATACGCTCCTGTTCTTGTTTAATTGTATAAAGGTAGTTATCGTTTGCTATTACTTATTTATTTACTCTCTGAATTCATTTTATGCGCGTCTGACCCAGATCTTTTTACATTGAGCTCGTACGGACGGTACTTCAAACTTCCCTATCGGTGTTAATTTCCCCCTCTCAGGAGTGGACAGATGAGTAGTACCCCCAGCCCCTCCCCGTCAGGCTGTTGTGACTAAGGGCCAGGGCCAACAGCTCGTCTTTGTGATGCAGCTCATATAACGATGGACCAATTTCAAATACCTGACTAGCTTTAGGGCACAGAATATCATCGATAGCCGGGTACTTCAATTCACTTCGTCAGGGACACCGTGATCATCTTTCCCGGGTGCTCCGTATTGTTTTACTAATTAGAAAGCTGACTCCTCAAGCAAACCATCCACCGTGTTTAAACTTTTAAGTTGACTGTAACTTAAGAAATAAGGGGAGTTATTTAAAAAATTAATTATTTTTTTCTGGTATACTTTGTATTATATCTTGGCCTTGCTTAATGTAAAACAAGTTATAAAATGTACTTTGACAAAATGATAAAATTGTTTTTCACTTCCTATAGTTTATTTGCGAATAAACTGGGAAACAGGTGCCGACTTGAAAGCTTTTTGGCTGCATACGTAGACATGTACTGAGTATATATCGCCATAACCCATATTAATGTTTGGTTTCTTTATTTTCTGTATTTTTTTTAGAGGAAATAAAGATGACATGCTGTCGTTATATCACTTTGCCGTTGCAGTTGGTGTTTTTTGTTGCTGTAGTCTGTTTTTCTCTTTAACTAACATTTTAAGGTAAGAATTCTTAACCTCTTCAACACGTTTTAGCGCGTGCTAAGCCGCAGACGTTCGCCACAATATTGTCTTAACACTTGCTAACGGCGGGGTCAAACAGTCAAAACGTTCTTTTTCAACCTGTCTATATATAGCATTACAAACTGAAACACTTCACTTGAACAAGTTCAATAAAGTTTAGATGGCGGATCAGTGCAACAGCTTCGACGTTTCGATGATGTGACAATTTGGTGGAAACATTCCAACGGGTTTAAACTGACTTTTCATCATGCTACAACATAGCAAAACAATGTTAACTCGGCTGTCAACACATTTTTTGAGAATCCTGTCACTCGTGTCACTATTTGACCCGAGACAAGGCTTTTAATATCATTATGCACCTGTCATCGGCCATTCCCCGGAGAAGATTCGGTTCAATACATATACATTTCCATGGGGTTATAGATGGATTTACTCGATCCCCATTTCATCACACCACCAAACTCATGCTTAGTTAAGCAAGGCTTTTACATAGGATTCTAGTAAGCTTTTACTTGTGCTTTCAGTATGTTTTGCTAAATCTGTAGTTGACAAAAATCAGTAAACAGCTTTTATGAAAACAATTCTATACATAACTAAACAGCTTTTAAAATATATTTAAGCTTTGCCGGCGTGAATAAAAATGGGGCATTAAACAGTTGTGCCTGCAAAAAAAGAAGCGTGGAACTACAAGACGTTTCTTTAGTTTTGTTTCGTTATACGCAAGGGCGAGTGTGGACAACACAGAGGATTTCGTAAAACATGAATTTAGATGACAGTTATTTTATTGAGATGCCGAAAGCAACGAATATGAAGTAATTTGGCACGTTTTTGTTCTTGCATGTTAATTTTATTGCGAAGAGAGCTGATTCTTTGAGTTCAGGTCTAATCCCATGGAAATCACCAAGCTGACGTTGTCTGCCAATTCAATCCTATAATGAATTGTCATTTCAACGCAAAGAGTCCAACTGAAGCGTGCATACGGTATTTCCGTCAACGAAGGAGTTTTAGCGTCCACTCTAACAAGTTCTAGCTTTAACCAGTATATTTTTAGAGGTCGTATGACCTTAATGTAGGAGGTTTCGGCTGTTGAGCTTAGATTTGCCAGGGCCAGCAGCTTTAACCGCAGCATTTCAATTGTTTCGTCGCCGACGAATGGGAAGTCTACAATTGTAGCTCCCTGAATTTTCCTGACTGATCATCATAATGATATCAAAAGCTAGATATATTTTATAACTGGTTTAAATTATATATTTTGCTCCTACTAATTATCATGCTAATTTGAAGTGATGCATGGCACAAAACATGGCTCATTACTTTTCAGTTGACGATTAGGCGTGTTATACACCTGCTAAAGATATGGGGGCTCCAAACAATAATATCAAGTAATGTAGCGGCTCCAGACGGTACCTGCAGACACGACGCTAAATTTCCTTTGAAGATTATCTTCTAAAAACTGGCTATATTTAAAAGAAAAAATGAGCGGACCTACGATAGAAGGATACCATGATACGAATACAATAAATAACTTATCTAGTCACGCAAGGGGATATTAGTTAGTGTATTTTATCGCCTGTAACACTAGATATCAAGTCAGAGTCTGAGTCATAGGTTTTAACATGTTCTATAAACTACAAAACGCACTCTGATCTTAAATGACAGGAAGGTTTTTATGTGATATTTATGGTACTGGCTTCGAGCCATATATGATAATTTCTTAGAACTTCTTTTTGAGGGCAAAATCTGTTTGAATCAAGGGGATTTGAAATCGCTCTCAGAGGTGTATTTTATGACCGTTAAAGCATTATGCTTTCCAGGAGACTGAAATAAAGCGCTTTTTAAATAAGACCTTTATATGACGACGCCGTTGGCGTTTGTAGCGTCCTGCGGACTTGCCGCTCACCGCTCGCGTGGTGCACGTGATCGTAATACGGGACCTCACACCGTATTGTAATATTTGAAGGAAAAACAAGAGGATGCATGTAGCGAGTAATGAATCATGGTAATTTAGATGCGATTAGGTCCACTAAGTTTCACAGAGACTGAAACTTCGGCCATTTTTTTTATTTATGCTAAGGTGCCGTGATCTCGTAGGATTTTTTTTTTTAAAGAGGCTATAATCGTGATAATCCGTTTCAAGCGATAAAATCAGTTTAGAGCTACTTAGGTTGTTATATCCGTACTCGTTATGACCAATGCGTCCTGTCACGACATGGAAATAGCTGTGCTGGTGATCCACGCACGTCTAGTGAATTTTTATGCTTTTTTTCTTAACCTTGCAAAGGTAGCTGGGAACCACTAGCTTCGCAGATATCTTTAAGATTCAAATGACTTACGAGCAGCAAGGTAACTGTAATAAAAAACTACGTCACGGGAATTGTTGAAACATAGCAAATTTTGAATATACAACAAATAATCATAAGAAAAATAAAAGAAAGCATCCAGACCAAATAAAAACTACAAACTCTGCACAATTCCCAGATTAACTAGTATGAGAAAAACATACTTCGAATGCAGCTACTCAGATAAAATCTTGCTAAGATTCTTAAAAATTCGGGTAAATTAATAAACATGGTAGAAAAAATATTTCATAACGATTGGAAAATTACAACCCACCTTTACAACTAAGAGAAGACAACAAAATTGTTGTGCAGAGAAGGAAGAAAATTGCCATTTCAGCCCGGCTTTTTGCGTTTTCTCGAAGTCTTATGCAAAATGAAGAATACAAAACCCTATATCTGACTGGGCCTCTTTATGCACCTATTCAAATACATTATTTGACAGGCCTTCAAAAGCGCATTTCTTAGTGGCTAATTTTATCTCTCACTAAACAATAGAATTTAAACAAAGCTGATCGTGCTCATATCTGTTTCCACGTGAACGTGGTTTTCCGAGACAGTGAAGTTGTTGTTCTTTGTTCATCACGTTCGATCTTGATCAGAATTTGCATCAAGGTTACACCTGATTCAGTTTCACTGTCAAAAGTGAGGTATACGTTGACTGGACGGGCCAGCGGCGTGTTGTTCGAAATTTGTCTGTGTGTTCGTCGAGTACTGTTGAGATCGAAAAGATTAACTAATTTCTGTAAATGGTAATCAAAAAGTGGTTAGGATACAAATTACCTCCACTGACGCCTTCAGAGCAGTCGGCCTCAGCATTAACACGGAAAAATGGAAATACGAATAGCCTTGCTTCTCGACAATAAAGGACGATGTTCCGGATCTGTTTGTCAGGGACGTTCGTTATTTGAAATTTTTAATATAGTACAACACCCCGTAAGCGACCACCCAAAATGCGAAGCTTTATGCCCTCTGACGAGATGTGGTCACTTACCAACTGGATGTTAAACAAGACACTGAACTCTGAAGGTGTTACTAGTCCACAATTCACCTATCTTAAATTATTTTTGCCTTTCCAATCTCATTTTACGCAACAATCTTCCCTTGTTTCGGGATATTGATAGTTCCTGGTGTAAGGCCTATATTGCCAAAAGAAACTTTTTGTTTATTTTTCATTTCTGATGCGTCTTTTATGGTATTTTGATTGTTGTACTGCGTTGAACTTAGATTAGATATTCCATAACCTACTGACAGCTCTCCCCGAAGCAATTTCTCCCGTTAGCGCTATAGTACTGAGTAACATCAGTAGGCGAGTGACCGATCAGAGCCGGGCAATTTACGCCTTATATTTTAGTAGTTGTTGTTGTCTTTATACATGTATATGTGTGTGCGTGTATTAGGGTTATCAAAAAACGTGAACGTAAAAAGCGGATTAGGCTGATGTATTATTGTAGTATTGGTAACCATTATTTATTTTACTTCTTAAGAAAGGTCTCTTTTTTCTACACTTTTAAGTGTCGGGGTTCGAGGTCGGAGGTACTTTAGGAGTTTTTTTGGTGTGGAGATGCGCTGCTGGGACACCTAATTCTGAACCCTTATACGGCTAGTTCATCTTAATTTTGTTATCTTATCTCAGTGAAACGCCCAAATCCCCCTCTATCTTAGAGTCGATACATGTGTTTTCCAGACACTTCTGATCGANGATCAGAGCCGGGCAATTTACGCCTTATATTTTAGTAGTTGTTGTTGTCTTTATACATGTATATGTGTGTGCGTGTATTAGGGTTATCAAAAAACGTGAACGTAAAAAGCGGATTAGGCTGATGTATTATTGTAGTATTGGTAACCATTATTTATTTTACTTCTTAAGAAAGGTCTCTTTTTTCTACACTTTTAAGTGTCGGGGTTCGAGGTCGGAGGTACTTTAGGAGTTTTTTTGGTGTGGAGATGCGCTGCTGGGACACCTAATTCTGAACCCTTATACGGCTAGTTCATCTTAATTTTGTTATCTTATCTCAGTGAAACGCCCAAATCCCCCTCTATCTTAGAGTCGATACATGTGTTTTCCAGACACTTCTGATCGAGGTCGACCAGGAGCCCGTAATGACCAATGAATGACACCACTAGTTCAATTACCGTATTTCCTATATATTTTTTACGCTTTCACTTTTTATCACTGATATATCCGGCCCAGTAACCCAAGCTCCCAGTTAATTACAGCGGAGCCCCATAACTAAGGAAATGTGGTAATCTACCCATCGGAGAAAATTTGGTAATCACGTGACCGTACTCCTAGCGAGCGAGCGACCGTCCGTCCGCACCACGGGCATACCAATGTAAAGTAAAAAAATGAGCGCAGTGAAAAATAACAGCGAACATGAACACAGGAAACAAAATATTGGGTAAGCACATACGACAATTCCTCCATAAAAATAATGAGTAACTAGGAAGTTTGACGTTTTAGTCGTACAAAACAGCGTTGTAGTCGTGCAAAACAACGGCAAGGGAAAGACAAAAAAGCGTGCTTCATGTGCAAATTTGTTTTTTTTGTGTGTGTTAATTAGATCTATTAGTCTTGAAGCCACTTTCATTGTCGTCCCCGTTTAGCATTACACGATTTCAGTTTTTTTTGTGTACACGTATTATTAACCAGAGCTTCGCTTTTAGCCCTGGCTAAATCTATATAATTATTACAGTGGAACCTCTCCTTTGGGACACCTCTATTTAAGGGACACCTCCTTTCAAGGGACACAAAATTTGGTCCTGGAAAAATGTTCACATAATCTTTGTATCTATTACCTCTTTTGAAAGGACACCTCTATTCAGGGGAAAGGGACACTTTTTCTGGGTCCCGAAACCCAGGTTTAACCTCCATTCAGGAGACACCTTAGCAATCCAAAAGAAAAAAAATCAGCAATAAGTTGAAGTGTTTATTAGTGACAATGGCGACAGCTTTCAAAACACGAATTAACTTTAAAAAGTTATTAATCTCGCTGAGGAACAAAGAGACGGCTGATGGAGATCTAGTCGAGGCGTCCGTTGGTTTAATCGGCAGAAAACGGTGCTCGGTCTCCGGCCAACATGGCGGCCCTTTCTTTAGCTCCAGCATTTTTGTCAATGTTGTGAGCTCTAGCTGGCCACATCTATGTAATGGGAAATCGTTGTAGATTAAAGTTGTAGACTAGCACGGTGGAGAGAATATATGCGCCAAATGGACAGCTTGCCTCACAGGCTAAAACCACACTGTCGGAACTGTTTCCTTTGTGTCCCTGTAAAGCTTAAATTGAAATTCATCTCCGTCATTTTCTGGAACCACACAATAAATATATCTAACGGCTAGGGGCGATTTACTTAGGGCGCCTCACGCGTTTTGAATCAGATTATTAGAGATTTCCCATAAATGCAGCTTTTTTACTGGAAACTACAATTTTGTTGTTGTCCCGGGGCGGGGCATTTGCACCCTATTTTTAAGCCCCACCGAGGAACATTTGCAGCTTTTCCAAAACAAAATGAGAAATGCCCGACAAATGCCCGGGGTGGGATTTGACTTAGGCATAATACACCTATCAATGTAATGCCGGCGGGGGGTGGGGTAGGCAGGGCATGGGGTGGGGATTTGACTTTTTTCAAAAATTTGCAATCAAATTCCCTGCCCACGGGCAGATCATTCCAGTCAAATGCTGAGGGACGTTTCGAAGCGTCTGCCGTTCGCAGGCTAGAAGTTTGTTTACATTTCAAAACATTTCGGGGATTTTGTCAAGTGCAGAGTACTATCCAGAAAGAGAATGCCCAGCGGTTCACTAAAAAGTCTGAGAAAATCATCAGTGGGCAAGAGTGTGGGCAACGCTTCAATGAAAAATGCTTGGGAATGATTGCAGAATTGCAAAGTAACATTGACCAGACTCAAAAAGGCCCAAAAAGAAAAACACAAGAGAATGTATCCATTTGCAAAGGAAATTTTTGTCTCAAAAAATAGAAGAGTGAAAGAAAATAAAGCAAAAGCTAGGAAGTGACGCCGTGAAAGAGCAGAGAAAAATTGTGAGAGACTGTTCTCCGCAATTAGTCACTCATCATCTTATGGTGAAGTTATAACTTTCGATCATTGTAGTGTGATAGGCCTTAACAGCTTAACAAAGAGAGATGGTACGTGGTTAAAACTATTAACATTAAAGTAAAGGTAAATTTACAGTGGATGCTATTGAAACAATCAGAGCAAACGTGTCGCCTGATGATGATGATGATAATGAAAAGGAGGAGGAGGATGGTAATGCTTCTGAGGGTAATGGTAATGGTGAAGATGACTAACGATGATTAGAAGAAAATATTAAAAAAGATGTTAACATAGGTTAGGTTTATGAACACACAGTAAAGCTTTGTTCTAGATTTTATACTATAAAAAGTTTCTCGCGTGACTACTCTTCAGATTTAAAGACTGTACATAAATAGAAACAAAATATTTAATATGTGAATTCCTGTTGTCACATAAAGTTGGATTAATGTGGAAAATTAGATTTATTGTTTAAAAAAAGATTTTACTAACGTTTGTAGTGATATGTGAATAATTCAACATGACCCACCCCTAATGCAGTGCATTATTTTACCTGAACCACCCTTTTTAACGTGTTAAAAAATAGTGAACCACCCCCAATTTTTCATAGCCCACCCCCCCCTGTACTTTATGACCAGTCCCTGAGACACCCTAGAAAGAGGAAACATTCTGCAGAACGTGCGCAATTTTCCTGAATAAAGTCCCATTTTTAATCAAATATATGTCAACTCCAATCATTGAACCTAATCAAACTCAGTCAAAATTCGATTGGGTTCGATTACTAAAATTTACTTGAGAGAGTTCGATTGTGTTCGATTACTGAACTTAATTGAACTCTATCGTTCAATTAATTAATAAAACATTCCATTTGGTTCGAGTGGTTACGTCGGGTTGTCTAGATCTTTGGCAAATGTGAAGCACAAAACTAATAATAACTATTTCTTTTTTTTATGTTTGCTTTCTAGGGTGAAAAGGAACTGGATTTTGCATTATTTTACTGCGACTGATGTTAATATTTGCTGTGAATTTTAAAAGCCTTAGCAAGAATTGGTATCCATTCACTTTGTTCTATGGTCCAATTGTTCCAAGCCGGATTGTTCAACCTAATAATCATATCGTTCCACAATATACATGTAACTATAGAACTTTTCAAGAGCCTTAGAGCCACGAGCAAAAACAAGGGGTTACTCATGTGTATATCTCGTTCTTTTAGCCTTAAGCCACTAAAAGAGCGCTTCTCATCGAGTTGTACACTAAAACTGTGAAATGATCTGACTATAAAATTGGAACGATGACTTGGAACGATCCTACCATGGAACGAAGTGACCAGAAACCTTGATTTTGCTGTTCAGCGTGTCCAATCAACA